ATTTCAAAATTGTATCATTTTATTATATATCATGAGAAAAAAAAAACTCAATTCTAATTTAAAAATAGATTATTTTAGTATTTTTCACTTGAAATTATAGAAATGGCATAATTTTAGAATATTTTTCTTTTTACTCTTTCTATTCATTTTTAAGGGATTTAATTAGTTTGATTTTTTAACTTTTCATACATAAATTTCAAATAAAAAGTTAACAACTTATATAAATAATAATTAAAATTTTTTTTCCTATACAAAGTTTTTATCAAACATATTTATTTGATAAAAAAAATTTTCAATTGTTATTTATATAATATATTAAATATTTATCTAAAACTTACATTTAAAAAGTCAAAAAATAAAAATAAAAAGGTAATTTTTTAAAAACTTGCCCAACAAACACTTTTCCCCCTAAAATAATATGCTTTGTGAGAATGCAATATTTGAAGAGACCGTTGTATTGTATAATCCGCCAATGGAGACGCCCTAACTCCTCAAATTTTCTGAATTTTCTTACATTCCACCCATATGCTCTTTCACGTGGTCAATGGACCCACCTCATATTAAATTCTTAATTGACACGTCTAGACTCCCATTCGTTATTGCAATTCCTTTTTCTGCTGTTCTATCTTGAATAAGTAGCGAAACCTCGTTCAAGGCCGAAGAAAAACGAAAGGAGTGAAACTCGTTTTCTTCGTCTACTTTCGACACTTTCCAGCATATGACTTGAATCAGTCGCCTCTAACTCTTAATTGAATCAAGCAAAAAAAAAAAAAAAAAAAATTCTAACTTCTATTCTACGTCCGTTGTTTTAAAATTATTATTATTATTTATTTTTGACAAAATAAAATTTATAAATTATTTATTACATTTTTATTTATTAGTACATTTGTGTTGAGGGGAATGAAAGGAAAAGGAGGAGAGGAGAGGAGAAGAGAATTTTTTATTAGGTTATCAAAAATTTAAAAGGGAGGAGAAATTTTTATTTTATTTTATTTTTCCTTCTAATTTAGTTAGTTATCTAAATAAAAGAAAGGGAAAGGAAGGGAAAGATATCATTTCATTAAGGAATGAATGGGAAATATGTATTTATTGATTATTAGTTAAAGTAAAAGAAACACTAGAAATTAAGCCTTAGTTATTCATAACCTTCTATTTAAGTTTCTTAATTTTAATTTGTTTTTATAGTTTGATTAGAGAATAATCAATATTATTAATCAAAGGTTAAATTACTATTTTGGTCCCTCAACTTTTCACTTTAGCACCAAAATTGTTCCTCAACTTTAAAAAGTATCAAAATTATCTTTAAACTTTAATTTTGGGTACCAAAATGGTCATTCTGTCAGTTAAATGCACATGTGGCACGTTAAGATGCCACAAAATCACTAGTTTTTTAAAATTTTAATGACGTGCATATCCAACAAAGAAAATATTGTCACCGTGGCATTTTTTTACACGTCAAATTGTCATCTTCTTAGTTTTTCCTTTTAGTGGGGCCCACATAAAAATTTGTTTTCTCTTTTTCCAGTTTCAATCAAGTTCCCCAAAAATCATAGTTTTCTTTGTTTCTCCTTTCATTTCCTTTTCAAATCAAAACCCTTAAACCTACTACTTCTCCAAAATTAAAATCAAAATCAGATCATCCTTCTTGTTCTTTATCTCTCTCTCTTCTCCTTTCTTTCTCTCCGGATTTGGGTTTGAAAACCCAAATCTGGGTTTTCTTAGGCTTGCTAAATCGGCCTTAGTTTGCTCGTCGCCGTCACAGCCGTTGCCATCGCCTCCACCATCACCCACGTTGCTGTCACAACCGTTGCCATCGCCTTGGGTGCTTGTCTCTCCACCAAGGTCGACTTCTTGTGGCCCAAACTGGAGGAGCAACTAGGTCTGTGAATACACCATCGCAGGGAGGTACCAGAGATTTTGGGTGTTGTGTTGATTGGATTGTAATGGGAGGTATCGGAGATTTTGTGGTGGGTTTGCATGCAAAAGTAAAGATGGGATCTAACAGTGGTTTTTGATGCACATTCTCAGAGTTGCTAGTGCCATTTTGAAACTAAATTAGAATCCAGTTTGACTTAGAAATGCAATATTTCTTATTTTGGATGTAGGTTTGTTAGGTCTATATAGTTCATGTAAATTTGTAATCCATGTCCGATTGATTTAT